TGAGTTTTAAAATATCGGATATCGGCCAAAATCCCAATATCGTGCATCCCTACTAAAAATAGGGATCACATTTTTGAAAATGGCTCTTTGGTTTAGAAGATTAATACATCGCCTGGACGACATTTTAGGCTGGTTTCTTGTATTTTGTGGCAATTCATTGGTCCATTTAGAAGCATTATGTTCGGTCCATGCATTGACACTCCTTTCTTTGCTATACATTGTTGAAGTTTTTATTTACAGGTGCACTGATTACAGATTTCTAGTCGATTACCGATCTTTTAAAAAGCCTGAGATGCCATGTCAGATTTTAATCAATACAAGTATGTTTTTAATTACCAGCATAAAGGCACTAATTAGTTCCTTTCTGGTTAAATTGTCTCTGTAGAGGATATCTGTGGAAAAGATGCTTTCACATTTAAGTGACGTCCGATCACCCATCTGCCAAAATTAAGGATATCGAGGTTGATAAATCAGCAGGCCAATCAATTTGTGCACCCGTATTTTTTAATTGTATTTTTTTTTTTTTTTTTTATGGCACTAGTGGCTCATTTTTATGGACAGTAGACTGACAGGAAATGGGGTATGAAAGAGGGGCAGAGGACCACCTGTGCAAAGGACCACAGGTCTGATTCGAACCTGGGTTGGCTGCGTCTAGGACTAATGCTACGTTTAGACCGCAAGCAGCAGAGGCAGCAGGAGCAGCTAGTTTACATGCAAAGTCAATGGTTAATGCTAGGGGTGTAAATCATACCCATCATGGCGATTCGATTCAGTGTCGATTTCCTGACCCAACGATTGGATTATTTTCGATACTCAAGAATACACCACGATTCGATTAATTGGTTTATTTATTTATTTTTACACCTTACAGGCTAGACAATGTTTCAAATTTGAAATAAATCAATGAAAGCTGTAATATCATTATGCATTTTTTATTTTTTTTTAGAAACTACAGAAAATAACAGAAGTAGAGAAGTTGCATCCACTTATTCCTATTAAAACCTCATTCACTAAAAATAATAATACCCCTGCGCTATAGATTCTGCAAGGCCTTGCATCAAAAAATACAATACTGCACAATATCAGTGCAATGAAATACCTCGGCTCCAGACGTCTCCGCCCCCTCCGCAGACGCTCCGCTGCACTTCTCCCAAATTGTAGCTGACCGCAGACAGTGCCGCTGACAGGAGGCCGGCTTGTTTTGTTTTCATGACCGAAATTGCGGAAAACAACTTGTGAAGTTTGACCCGCTAGAAGAGCGAGGTGCGCGAGAACACTGGAATCCTTTTTCCACCTGGATCTCCGCTCTTTTTGGCCCTCATGTCCCTCCGTTGTGCTGTGAACTTAGCATAAGGCCTCCGTACATGGGTTGTGTGCACCCAATGTACCGGTAGTTCTACTTGATTTGTTGATAAATGTTAACTTTTGTTGTACTCTTGTGTAACATTAGATGTTAGTGTGTCATTTTAATCATGTAAATGAAGGAAGAGAAAACAAAATTAGCCTAAAAAAAATTGGAATCATATATCAGGGATCGGCTATCTTTTTTTGATGGATTTTTCCTTAAGAAGGTTTATGAGATCATGAGTTTTAAAATAGATTATATCCTGCAAAAAAAGGATGTTATTGAAACTTTCCTACGTAATTAACATTTCTTTTCTTTGCAGAATCAGAAGGCACTGGGAAGAGGCGCAAAGAAAAATTTTCATACTCGATGACATTACATCGAAATGTCCGATCGTTTGGGGCAATTAACCAAGTCCAAGGATGGGAAAAGCAAGTATTCCTCACTCAGCCTATTTGACAAGTACAAGGGAAAATCAATAGAATCTCAGAAAAATACAGGTAGGTTCTGTGTCCATGTTTTTTGCGCTCTCCTAATGCTCTAAATTAAACTGTAATCATAGTTCTTTTTTGACTTGTCTTAATCTGGTGCTGCTTTGTCTCCCAGTAGTTACACGACATGGCTTGCAGAGTCTTGGCAAAGTGGCCACAGCCCGGCGCATGCCCCCACCCGCTCACCTGCCTAGCCTGAAATCTGAAAACAAAGGAAACGATCCCAACGTGATTATAGTGCCCAAAGACGGTTCAGGATGGGCGAACAAGCAGGAACAAACCGATCAAAAGAGGTACAGGTGAAAATGTTGCATGCACATTAAATTAAAAAGTCAAGCAAATTACATGCATAGCTTTTTTTCTCTTCTCTAACACTTCTCTAAATCTATTTTGAATGGCACTCTGATTGTATGACTGACACTTTTTTTTTTATAACTGTTTAGGTAATTCCTTTTCTCCAATGCCAGTTGAAAAATTAGCTTCAATTGGGGTTGGATAATATGGTCGACTTATATCTCTATACTTTTCTTATATCTCGTCGATACAGTATAACCCAGAATACAATATAAAAACTCTAGAACTGCCAAGAAAGTCCACAGATTCCTGTAAAAAATGTACTTGTTAAAAAAAACAAGCTCAACAGGTGAAAAGCACATTTAACAAGCCGATCACCTCTTCCTCCTAATATATATCTGTTCATGCATTCTTGCCTCTTTTAGAATTCCTCCAACACTGATTCCTTTATTTTCCTGTGGTTAGCTTTATTATTTATATTAAAACATGTCTAGTGCTGAAACAATTAATTGAGATTAATCGTTTATTGAAATAATCGTCAACTAATTTAGTAATTGATTAATTATTAACTGGAGTGTAGAGACTCTAAAACACGTCTTTAGCTGACAGCAACCCACTTAGAGCAGTTATTGTACCAAAATTGAAGAAAAAAAATGCATTTATATATATATATATATATATA